TATGTGTGTGCAAACAGGCATGCATGTTACGACTGTTGATTGAAATTTGTCGTGTGATTATAAACAAGGATTTTGCCGGAAAGAATCCTTAGTTTACGAAACATTTTTTCTGATGCCTTGTTTCACTAACATTTCTTTCATTATTGACGATAGTCTAACATGAGAATCTTGATCACTGGAGGAGCTGGATTTATTGGTTCTCACCTAGTTGATAGATTGATGGAAATTGAAAAAAATGAGGTTAGATTATTGGTTTATTCTGTTTTTAATACCTTGTTTTTTTCCTTCTTTAACAATTATATTTTTTGTTGACATAACACGATCAGGTCATTGTTGTCGATAACTACTTTACTGGATCAAAGGATAATCTCAAAAAATGGATGGGTCATCCCAGATTTGAGCTTATCCGTCATGGTATACTCTGCTTTTGTTTGCCATTCAACTATCTTACATATTAAATTGTTGTGCTTGTGATAGACTGAAGGATGGGAAGTGATTTATATTAAAAGATAGAAAGCTTCAAATGATCGTTCTATCAACAAAAGCCTCAGTTTTTTCACAATAAATTTCAGTAGTTATATTTCAGACTACAGCTACTTCATTAATCAACTTCAGCGTTGCTCAGTTCGCATTATGCTATTCTCAAGCAACATTATCAGTGATACCTTAGTTTATTTTGTATAATATATGATGTTTAGAATGTCTTAAAATCTGTCTGAAAATCGATAATTCTGATGCACATTATCGTTATGATTCCTGTGTAGATATCACTGAACCTTTGATAATTGAGGTTGATCAGATCTACCATCTTGCATGCCCTGCATCTCCTATTTTCTACAAATATAATCCGGTGAAGGTATAGTTTTTATTCTTATTTTGTCTGCATTTCGTTATCTTTTGGTTGGCATGCTAACACATTTTTCTCAATTGCTGACGGTTTTGCTTAACATTAATTTCATAGCCATTGGCCCATTATGTGGCTTTCTGCAATCAGCAGTATATTTATTCTACTTCGGTCATGTATCTATCATTATGCATTTCCTGCAAGTTGTTTTTTTGCTGATCCTAGACAAATTATATAATTCACGAAATTATAATTTTTGCAGACAATAAAGACAAATGTGATTGGCACACTGAACATGCTTGGGCTTGCAAAGCGAGTTGGAGCAAGGTTGGCAAATTTCTTCGGAATTCAATAATTCCAACTTCTATCAAATTTTAATTTTATTTGGTAAAGTCTTAATACTTATTTTATTTTCAGGATTCTACTTACCTCAACATCGGAGGTATATGGGGATCCTCTTGAGCATCCCCAAAATGAAAGCTATTGGGGAAATGTGAACCCTATTGGTACATGCTTTTATCTGTCTCTATCTCTATCTCGTGCTTCTTAAATGAGATTGTATTCTGCTAATGATTGTGAAAGATATCTGCACTGTATAAACCATGGAAGCCTACTCTCATTTAATTTTTGTACTAAATAGTCGCTTAGGGCTTGAATTTATTTTTCATGACAAACAATAATTAGTTGTAGACTTGCGAAGCGAAAAACATATTTTATAGTGTGTGTGGAACCTTACTTTTCCACATAATAATTAACTATTTGATGCAAGGTTGATAATTTTGAGTCAATGAAATTCTTTTAATACAATATTTAGGTAGATGTGGTCTAAGCACTGGATTATCATTGTTAGATATTAAGCTAGTGCACATAGAATTGCAAAAAGAACAGAATAACTTCTTTAGTAACATATTGGGTCGAATAAAGGCCTTTTACGACGAACTGGAAAAAATTCAGCTTCCACGTTTAACAACCCATACAATGTGGAGCACTAAGTACAAAGGATCCAACCTACAACTAAGTCCATTTATGCAGGACTTTATTAGCAATAAATAATAAACTGAATTACTAACAAGAAACCTTATCGTAATATATATCCTTACCTAAACCTGATTATGGTCTAATCCGTTCAAGTTAGAAACTTGCAAACTCCCACTATCTTCCTCAATTTCATGATTAGCTTGAGTGGTTAAGTTCATGTCTTCCACTTCATTAAATGAACCACAATGTACCAGCTTCACCTTTCCATCATCGCTGAGGTTAATGGAACTGGACGTGGATATGCTTACACCATCCGTGGAATACAAGAATTTTTAAAGCTCGATAATATTGCCACAAAATACTAAACTGAATTGACTAACAAAAAACATCATCCTAACACTCATATGTCTACAGGAGTTCGTAGTTGTTATGATGAGGGAAAGCGTGTAGCTGAGACTTTGATGTTTGACTATCATAGGCAGCATGGCTTAGGTAATTTATGGTCTTCTTTTCTTCATGATTGCCTATTGTTCGTTTTAAGGTATAGTTGGTAGAAAATATTTTCTCCGTAATTTAACAGATATTTTTGTATTCTTTCAACATAGAAATACGTGTTGCAAGAATCTTTAACACGTATGGGCCGCGCATGAATATTGACGATGGGCGTGTTGTCAGCAACTTCATTGCTCAAGCACTTCGGTAATTAAAATTTCTTTTACTGTTTGTGGTTTATATGTTGCATTGTTGTTTCTACATAGCTCTCTTAATTATCGTTTTGGTTGCCGCGTTCAGGTCTTAAATAGAATATGTGAGAGTGCAACGCTCTAGCATCGATTATTGATTTAATTATTTCAGTACCTTGATTTTGTAGACTAACCTTGTCTTCTTTTTCTTTCTTCCCATTTCTATTTTGATGCTTACTTCACTATCTTTGATGTACTTTAGTGGTGAACCCTTGACGGTCCAGTCTCCAGGGACACAAACTCGCAGTTTCTGCTATGTCTCTGATCTGGTATATATTCCATAGCCTATGCGCATATCTCTTGCGTTGGGTTGATATTAGTATTTGCTAAGGTAATTTTGATTTATTGTCAGGTCGATGGCCTTATCCGTCTCATGGAAGGATCCGACACGGGGCCAATCAACCTCGGAAATCCAGGTTACATTTATATTGCAAGGCCTGTTTATGAGTATCTTAACTGTTTCGAACTGAGAAAACATCTTTAATTTCTTTCCCCTTATTTATTTGCCTCATTCTCTTCCTTTTCAGGTGAATTTACAGTGCTTGAACTTGCTGAGACAGTTAAGGAGGTTAGTTCAAAGCTTAATAGAGTTCACTTCTCTAGTTTTTTCATACTTACGTTTTATGAGTGTTAAAGTGTGATTTAAAACTTGGTAACCTCGGGAGGGAGCTATTTTATGGGGAAGGTTGCATATTTTCACAATACAAGATTAAGTCATGGCGTCTATACTAACGGAATTCTGGGAAAATAGATTTTAATTTATGCTTTTGTGATTCATTTGCAGCTAGTTAATCCAGATGTAGAGATAAAGATGGTGGAAAATACTCCTGATGATCCCCGGCAGAGAAAACCAGACATAACAAAAGCAAAGGAGTTACTTAAGTGGGAACCAAAGTTCCAGCTGCGAGATGGTCTACCTCTAATGGAAGAAGATTTCCGTTTGAGGCTTGGAGTTGTCAAAAAATAATTAACTTATATTTTCATTTTAAATAGCCAGAAATGGATAGATAATAAGTGGGATGGATGAGTCTAAAATTTCACAATTTTCCTTTCATAATTATGACAAGGGTCAAAAACCGTACTCTTGCTTTTATTTGACCAAAAACACTGCAGCAATAGTCTCTGCAAATTTTGCCGGTAGTATTATTTACTGTGATAAACTTTCTATTGAGAAAAAGAAAATCCCCCTCTTTGTAGTTCTCTTGTTACATGTATTCGTGATATATGATATTAAGTACTCAGTCGTACAAAACCTTTAGTTCGTTAAAACAAAATTTCAAGTTAGGATGACTATAAATTTCATGTATTTATTTTCCTTTTTTCACTAGTTTCCAACCATTTCCCCTTACAAAAAATAAGATGAATACTAAGAATACTATTTCATGAATAAGTTTCAATATTTCAATTCCTAATTTGAAATTTCATTAATGAATAACAAAGCGAAACAAGAATTTGAAAAACAACCTTTTAATGAATACCGACACTCATTAAGAATTTAAAAGTAAATATCCTTGTTACAAATATTTTATAATTTGCAAAAATTAATTGGCTTAGGATGTTTTAATTAATTTGATAGAGAATTATTAATATTTTTTGTCATCCTGTTTACTTTAAAATATTTACCAATTTTATCAATAACTAATTTATGCTGAAAATAATACGTTTAGTGGGATCTCACATTTCAATCACGTTTATATAATCAGCAAGAGTCCCCCTCTATTTTTTTAACTTGGTTAAAAAAATCATCAACATATAAAATCATATGTTTTTGTATTATTTTTATATGCCTGGTGTTTAGTCGACTATCACTTTTTTATTTTCATTTTTATTATATATAAATTAAATGTAATAATACTATTTTAAAAAAATTATAATAATTTAAATTGATCACTGTAAATTCAAAACATACTTTATACATTTAAATTTACTAATTTATTAAGAATTATAAAATTTACCTGTAGAATTTATTTCTTATTTATATCAATTTACAAATTTAGTGAATTTTAATTAACTATTAATAAATAATTACTGGAAGAATTAATAAACTGGCCAAAGTAGACGAAACTGTAACTGCATAGTTCTTTCCCAGTTAAATCACATATCTATTTCAATCCACCAATTCAATTAAATTAAGGAAAGAAAAAGAAAGATTCATCTTCGCGAATCAACGCGGCTCCACCAGAACAAAAGCAGTGAAATTGTTTTCTTTCGTGTACGGCGATTGGAATATCCACGAGTTCGTCCCATTCACCATGTCACCGATGGTTGTCGATACAATAAAGAACACATACATTGAGTAAGAATAACACTAACCTCCATTTCACGCCACGTCAGATTCTTTCATTATCCAAAACACCTGCCATGCCACCGCATCAGTATCCATATTCAATAATACGCAAAAAGCATCGACAGACATTACTTTGTGCCAGAAAATAAACCCCTCTCGCTTGTGCCATCTAACGGTCACGCTTCGATCATTTCACTTCCTTTTCAAACCTTCGTCACCCGTTCCTTTCTTCACCTTCTTTTGCATTTGCTTTCTACGATCTTCCTTTCCAAAACAAGCAACGAAGACCTGAAGCGGTTGCGTTCCTTTCTTCGCTTAAATAAATCTCCAAAACCAAAATCTCCGAAACTGCACCAAACCAACCAACCTCTCTCTCTTTCTTTCTCTCTCTCTTCGCTAGATTTAAATCTTGATTTGATTTCTTTTTTCATTTCTCTTCCGCCGCGAACATTCGAGAGAAATGGCGAAGCTACGTCTGGATCGGGATTAAGGCGCTAGGGTTTTGTACGCTGCCTTCGATCCTGATTCGGATTCCGATAGGAAATGTCCGAACCTAATTCAGCGCCCCGAACCTCCGCCTACCTCGACGCGCTCTCTCAGGCGATCCACAAGAAGCTTCAGAAGGTCCGTTTTCTTTTAGTTTGTCTCTCTTTTCGATGTAGCGAAGTGGAACGAACGAGTAATTAATTATTAGTTTTGTGTGTGTGATGAATGTGGTGCAGGCGTTGGCTAATTCGTCGCAGAGGCGTAATTTGTTGCAGGAGTTGTTTGCGGATATAGCTTTGGAAGTCGATGACCGAGCCAAAGGTATTAAAACAGTGCGTTATTTTAAAATGTTGATTTTCATTGAAGGTTAACTAGCATGCATGCGGCTAGGAAAGTCCGATTATAATGTCTTGTTAACGTAATTAGGTATTCTGTTATGTTATGGTGCTATTTGGTTGCAATTTGTGCTTGATCACCTGTTATTGGGAATTCTTGAAACTCGTGAGAATGGAATTCACAACAACAATGTGGATATTTGAATTTAAATAATGTCTTAGGAACCTTTCTTTTTCGTTCTTAGAAGGGGGATGTATGTGTTATCTTTTATTTGTCAAACAAGTGTTACAGAGTGCGCGTTTTCCGATTTTCATAATAACAGATGTAATTCTGAACAAGGAAGAAGATGACATTTCTCCAGCAGAAGATATTAATGATGGTCCTTTATGCTTCTACGATGTGCTTGCTGATTATTTTGTGCGTGTGTCTGAGAGCGGAAAACCTATCCTTGACTTGATTGTTCAACTTTGGAGCCAATCGTTTGCTTCTCATATATTTGCCCTCCTGTTTCACAAATGGGTATGTGAGTTTGTGTCTGCTTTTGTCTTATTGCGTTCTTGATCACGCTTTTTCCTACACTTGTTTGTGTCTGCTTTTGTCTTATTTTATGATCTCTCATCACTGGTTTAAAATTACTACATTCACCTTAAAAAAATAAATGAACGAGTTACTCACTTACTCAAATAGTTTTCCCAGCCTGGATTCTATTACTCAAGTACTCACTCTTTTATTTTGTTCTTTCTTTGTTCTTTTTCATTTAATTCCTGACAGTTGCATTCTTGTTGAGTAGTCTAAACCATGTTGCTAACATTCGATCATGAGAACAGTTTTATGGTAAAGGAAAATATGTTTAAAAATCCAAGTCATTGAATAACATAACGTAAAAATCAAATAGAAAAATTATATATCATTTATAATTATAATAATAACAACAACAAGAACCTAGAACAATAGCAAAAAGTTACTTGGATGTTGAAAAAGGTTTGGAATTGGAATTGAAAACTTTACCACTTACAGGTTGAGAAAACCTGAACGGTACATTAATGATGATAAGAGATATTTGAGATGACAATGATGTTTAGATATCTTAAAAATAGAAATCAGCAGCTGTTTGAGACTTGTACAAAATAATTGTGTAAGCTGGATGGTCATTAGTATGAAATGAATAGTATCTCTTCTTGGGATCCCGTACTTTAGGCAGTCACTTGCAGACCGTTAGCATTCATAATTCATTGCTTGCAAGGCTAAAATGTCAGACCACTTTTTGAGAAGATAATAGATTCTATATTCCATGGTCGGTCATATTTTGAACTTGTACTTTACCTGTTCAAAATCATAGAAACCTCTCTTTTCTAATCTCTAAAAGGAAAATTAATACTTGTTTATTTTATGGTCAAATATTTATTTGAAAACTCATAGCTCATGCTATTGTTCTGTATGTCATTGATACTCCAACCAGTTCTAGCAGGTGCCTTTCTGACAACTCTGAACATTTATAATTTACGTATGTGAGATTGTGAAGCGTGCACATTGTCTGTGCAACTGTTCAGAGTGACTGCTATTCCTGTTTTCAGTTAGTTAAGGGAATATATAAACATTTGGCATGTATCCCATTTGTCATTAATGTACTGTGATTTCCTATTGATAACTCAAATTTTGAAATTCTAATAAGCATTTATAATATATGTTCCTGGTTTCTAAAACTAATACTTTCCCTGATTTCAGACCCAAATTTGTCAAACCTTAATGGGTTCTGCAGCTGGTCTTAGATTTAATATTTAGGAATGCAATGCAATATTTTGAAATATGTAGCATAAGTATTTAATTATTCATTCAATACAAGTGAAATGATTTGTGGCATTATTTGTCTGTGTCTGTGTAGAATATGTATGAATATAATTTGTTTATTATTTTATAATAATGAAGGATTTAAACATTTGAAAATTTTCGTTATTCACAAACTTAGTTATCATATTATATTATTTCGATCTTTGTACAAAACATATTTAACTTCTGCTGATAGAATTTTATAATGTTTATACAGGGTAACTGGTATGAGATGGGATGGTTCTGGCCTTTTTAGGATATTTTATTTCATTTTTTGTCAACTCTGTCTTTTAGGATTACAGAGGATTTCCTCTGCTATTATAAGAATTGAATCTCCATATTTCTTAAGCAAACCCAAATTCCTATAAAATTCTGATGAGTTGGATTAATCACTGTTATTCATCTTTCATGAATCCTAATTGTGGTATATATAGTAGCTTCATTGTAGTTTTGCTTAATAACTTCGTAACCTTTTGCAGTTATTTGAATTTCATCTTGATAATCCAGAAGTGCTTCTCCGGTATTCATCTGCTCTGGTTGAAGGTGCCACAAATGTTTTCTGGTATGAATACAGGCTGTTATAAAAGAAAACTTTACATAATTAGGATTTGCCTTGGATTTGGATTGACTGGCTTTTTGTACTAGTTACAATTGTATTGATTTTCATTATTATTCCTGGACAATGTATGAATTAACTTTAATTATCTGTTCTCCCTCTAACCGGGAAGAAGAATATTTCTGAGTGCTCTTCATGACTTTTCTTTCAAAAAAAAAAACCACCTGATGTTGCCGTGTCATTTCCATAGCAATCCATGCCTGTCCCGTCCCCTCCATGAAAACTGAAAGTAATGGAAAATATTATTAATTGCTGAGATTGTGCCCATCGGTGGTACAGACTCAAATTTAATCTGGGATCATATTGCAATAATATTTTTCAAACCCATGTGCAGGATTGACATCCAAACAAATACTAGGCGTTTTCGGTCTTTATTCTGTGTAAGTCCTTGAAGGAATCTAATGTTTGTTGCACTGATATGGATCATCTGACTAATGTTTTGATTATTGGTTCCTTTTCCCAATTCTTTTGTTTCCCTCAAGTTCAGTACCTTCTGCAAGATGTTGCATTAGATCACACTCGATTGAATAAAATTCCTTTCCAGGTGAGATTAACCCTATAAAAGCTATAGTTTTGGTTTGTCGGAACCTTGAATTACTAAATTAATGTTTCTAGCAATTTGCATTCTGAAAATTCTGTATTTTTCACCATATATTATCAGGCTCAGCGTGATACCTATCTCTTGCTCTCAAGATTCATTCTATTATACAATAAAGGTAAAAATTGACGTTTGGGGCAGTGGATTATTGGCTATAATTGACTATCTAGTAGCCTGTTAAAATATAATAATATTCTTTTGCAGCTGACAAAATAGATAGCTTCTTAAAACAATGTCCTGCTTTCCCCACTGCTTTTCTAATTGGTGGTCCAGCAGATATATTTGTTACTGAACTCACTGATCAGGTACGTTTGAACTACAATTTACCACTTCATGATTAACAGCCTTATCCTCAATTTCATTTGAAGAGATGAAGATTTTTTTTCTCGTGACTTGCCAGCTTCAAAAGCTAAAGGTGGAACCTGTGCTTCTTCATTACCTTTCAGAAATGAAGATCCTTCAGGGTACTATATCAAGCATATAGATGCTATTTGGACAGAGACTACTAGTATCTCGTCCTGATTTAGCTTGCCTTTTTTTTATGCTAATGACACAGGTATGGAATTGAGAATGACTACTAGTACAAGATTAAAAACTTGTCTGTATAGCTTTACTTCTCCTGGTGGTCCAATGTATCCCACGAGAGCCGTTCGTCATGCAGCTTGGGAAGCATTAGACTTACTTTTTCCGGTTAGTATTTTTTTTCTATTTCGTACTTGAGTCACTGCAAAGACTTCGTTCTTTATACCCCTAAATCATGCCGAAAAACAGAAAGTCACCCTAGTTAACTAAAGTATTATTTACTTTTGTTGATTATATGTTTATAAGAAATCTTGTAGGACAGGTACATTATATGATTAATCAGTAGTGCAAAATTGTTTAAGCTTACCACTAGATTGAGAAGAATAGTTATTTTAGTAAAATAGACCGGACACGTATTTTTTTTTTCCTCTTTGGTCATTTAACTGATTTCCTAATAAGTGCAAATTGCTTATGTTTATACCCTGTATACAGGTGGGACGTTATCCGCGGCATCTTATTAGTTTGTTCTTCAGACTGCTTTATCCTTGGTATTGGCCATCTTCCTGTTGGAACTTCGTCGTTGCTTGTGTTCAGACGATTTTCTACTCGTTGCTGGGGTTTATATTTTCAACGTGGCATAAGATTGCCAAGCCAAAATCGCAATAAATTCCTGTGTGTACAGATTATTATCAAGCCATCGTCGATGCTTAGTGGGGGTCTTTCTTCTTGTTGTCGCTAGTGAAGTTGTGTACAAACTTGCTAAAGTTTTGTTTGTTATTGTTAAGTTTGAGAATAAGTTATATAGCGTTTAGATTAATGAGAAAGGACTGCAACCATTTTTGCTCCCAGATGAACGGTGGTTACAGCGAACCGCATAATTATATATCAAGTAAAATTATGAAAATGAAATCGAAAACTCGTCCGTTTTAATGTGTTAAACAGAAAGTTGTCGATTTAAACGGGAGAAAAAGGTTTTCTTTCTCCATCTTTAAAAATCAGATTTAAACGATTTATTGAAAACTTGAAGCAAGTATTTTTGAAGGCCGAACAATTTTAACTAAACATATCTGACACGTCTTTCATTCTCCAATCTTTATCTATTACACGATGTCATTGGGACAGCAGCAGACCTAGAGTATCTGTTCAATTATTTACACATTGAAACGTTTCTAAAAGTTTAAAAGCACTGCAAAAGACACCACAATCACTCGCCAGTTACAGGTCAGCGAACAAAAACAATGTTAACAGGGCAAGCTAGCACAAGCTGGCCTCCCAATGAAAAGTTCCTCAAAAAAAAATTAGTTGTAAACGTTACACTAGGTTAAAGGAAGTTAACACCACCATTTCCCACTGCTAAGAACGGGTTATCAATGACTGTCTAGTTAAAAAGAATCTCTGACTAGCGTGTGATTATAGTAAAGTATGGCTAGGAAAATGGCCTAGCATGTAATCGTAACCAGCAATGACAGTTTTCATAGATTCACTACAAGTGAAGAGCTGAGATACCAACTCCTATAGCAAATCTTGTAACACCGAGTGCAACCAGCCTATGAAGTCAATTAGGATTATAGGTTCCATCTCACTATATAATAAGCCAAAACTACCAGACAGAGAGGAAAGATGTCCCCAACTACAACAAGTAGAACATCTAAAAGATGACAAACCTCAATGATTACACAACAAAAGGCAATGTCACAATATAATAGATCACATGACTATTTTCTGGGGAGAGAGGGTGTTAAAAGAGGAGGTAGGGAATCTACCTTATTAGAAGATTCCGCAGCATTGGTGTGGTTTAACCAAAACATCAAAGCAACTGTGGGTCAAATCTGCAGCCTCCCATATTTTGTAGCAGCCAACTAGATTTTTGTGCATTTGATAGATGAGATCATGGTTCCCACTTCCACAATACACTGTTAAAACAAATTAATGCCAAGAGGATGCTGACTACTGTTTCGTAATCCATAAGGAAAATGATTAATAGGCAACAGAAGCCCAAACTCCACGGGTCAAGCGTTCACTAAAGAAGTCCATTCCCTTTCCCCTAATAAATAGGGCATAGCAAGATACACAGTGTTCCATCAGCAAGCCCCGAATAACCATAGATGTTTAGCAAGAAAATAAAACATGGGCAATTCCTTTAGTTCAATTGGATTGACTCTGCATGATATTTCTCCAGATCAGCATCCAGATCATCTGCAGATAACTTTTCGTCACGTCTTCCTCCACCACGACCTCTTCCTTGACCTCCATCCCTTTGAATGCCTTGCCCTCTTCCTCCTGGCTTTCTAAATGCCCCACTTCTTCCTTGTCCACTGAGTCAGATCAATAGCACATATGATCATCTTTAAAGAAAAAGACAACCAACTTAACAATCACAACCAAAAAAAATATTTCTTAACAAAACATTAAATGATATCTCATTACAGCCATTCATCAAATTAGAATCAAAGCCGATATTAAGAAGAAGAAATGAAATAAAATATAGAAATCATCTAGGAAACAAATAAATAAACATCCTTTCTTGCATTCCTTAAAGAATGATGGTGATTAAAATTAACACGAGCATTGCAATTCCTTTATTCAGAAGTCACTTTTAGAACACAAAAATGACACGATGGATGATTATCTCAACAGCAAGTAAATGGTAGGGCATCAAAAAGGTAAAATGCTTCCACTGTGTCGAAGGATCAATAAGTACATGACCATTTAAAATATCCAAAAACATTCAGCCATTTTGAAGACTGCAAATTGCTAGCAAAGGGCCATTTAGTAACAGACATAAATCACTTGGAAACATCATACAAGCATAACTCAGTTTTCTAGGGAGTTAAAAAGAAATAAATTTGAAACCATTAACAAATACACATTGAAAGCCAGTAAAATTTAGACAAAAAAATGCCAAATCGAAAAACATAGAATACAAAAGGTTCACAACTCCGAAAATGAAATTAAATAACAGATTATTAAGGAAAAAAGCCATTAAGCATGAGTATACCTTCGAGGACCTCCATTCAAATTTCCAATAGCTCTGTTTGCAGCGGGAACACCAGGCATAGAAATGTTTGTTCCCACAATCTCTATCTTCATTGGTTTCCCATCTAATTAAACATTGTTGTATCTCTTTACAGCAGCTACAACATCAGCTCGTCGTGAAAATACTACTTCTGCAGTACCCTATGGAAAAGAGTTTTTCTAAAGTACTGCAAGACAACAAATTGATCAGAAGGGCCACATCATGCCAACAGGATAAGATACCTCCGATCTTCCACTCCTGTCGTAGTGAACCCCATGCCGTTTCAGGTCACCAACTTCAGAAAACAATTCCTGGAGTGTAAAAAAACTGAATTTAAAACTTTGACTGTAAAACAGCAGAAATGCAAACATCTTTGTTTGGAAGAAGATAAGATTATAATCAAATATTTGCATTTTCTTCATGATAACACAGTCAGCTACGCAAATTTAGGTTTCTGGCAGTATATAGGTAGATCAGACCAAGGGCTGTTTCAAGAGTAGGGTATTGCAAGGAATGAGAAGGAAGTTTATTATTTTTAAACTTATGAGACTTGTGTAAGGTTTATAACAACGCTAAATAATAGATTAAGACATTGAATTTATATTAATATTTTCTTAAAAAAATGTCAAAGGAGAAAAAATATAAATATTTAGTCCCTCCTTCCCTTTTCCTCCAAAATCCATGACACTTAGACTAGGTACTGGAAACTGTCAGCCCCTCTTGGTGCCTTAGAAACTTATATAATTAAAGTAATACATGACATTAGCACCTTATCAGTAACAACAACAAAATTGAAAATCCATCCACATAACTTGATAAGTTATAAACAAGGGGCGAAATAGAATGTTGACTCTCCGGGTGTATCTAGAAAATTAAACTTATTAATAGTTTTATTTACAATGAAAATGTTATCCTTGAGTAATTGATTCATATGGAACAGGAAAAGCTGTGCAAGACAATCAAATATTTTACCTTTTTCAGACTATATTGTTAATGACGTTCTTTAAAAAGCATCATTCATTCTTAAGCACCTTAAGCCAATGCCTAAGAAAACTTTTCACCTTTGACTACCTTAAAAAGCAGACACCAAAACCTTCCTTTTTATATCCTTCAAAACCACTTGTACAAAACCTTAATGCCCAAAAGCACTTTTGGGCTTTACAACCTCATAGGCATCAAACCTTACCTTTATTGAGGAGTCAATTAAATTGAAGTATAGAATAGAGAAAAAAGGAATTTTAATTGAACAGTGATTGGGCTTTACAACCTTATAGGCATCAAACGTTACATTTATTGAGGAGTCAATTAAATTGAAGTATAGAATAGAGAAAAAAGGAATTTTAATTGAACAGTGGCTTTAAAGGGGCCAAAAGGAAAGAAGACAGAGATAGAGTTACCACTATCATTGTTGATTTAAAATTAAGTTCGCCAGATATTGTCCCCAACATTACATAGAGGCATGTAGCCAGTACTATAAGGAGTGTTTGGAAGAGTTTTGCTGGAACTTTCTAGTGGTCTATATGTAATAACTACCAGACCTATATAACAAAGTACTAATAAATACTTTTCAAATATTCTAAAATATCATAAGGTACCCAATAGCTACGGTATGAGAACCCAAGTATATATCAAAAGGAATAGGAAGAAAACAGAGCATACACTTACAACTTTTTACACACGGCTAGGGTCCTAACAACAAAGCTACTTGCGCAAACATACACTTCATAGTCACACTAACACGTCGATCCCTACTTTCTTCATCTATAAAAAAGGGAGTCGCTCTAAAACTATGCAAACACTACGAACAACAGAGACCACAGATTTCTAACAAACAGTCAGAGCAACAAAATTTATAGTTAGTGCCAAGCCTAAAACACTAAGGCCATGTACGAAAAGCACAGACATCATTACCTTAATATCATCATTGGAAACGCCATAATCCAAGTTAGAAATGTAAAGTTTGGTCCCAGTTTCCATGGAAGACGCAGAACCACCTTGAGAAGGGTACCCCGCCGCAGCCACGAGCTGATCTGCATATAAATCGTGCTTCCAAGTCGCCTCGGGCGCCTAAAACCAACGATTAATCAAATCCAACGTAAAATTACGGTTTAAACTTCGAAATCGAAATTCAAAACAAAAAATGGATGAAAGTAAGAGGTACCTACCTTGGCGGTGGCATATGGAGCAGCGCGGTTGGCAGAACGGTTAGGGAAGCGGCGTGAAGGTCCGTGTCCGGATCCGGATGATCGGTTCCGGCCACGGAAGTTTCCGGATCCAGATTTTTCGTTATTCTTGATGATGTCATCGAGCGTCAAATCCAGAGCCGCAGACATGTTTGCAGACTCAGGTTTGGGTTTTTGGAACAGATCTGGTGAGGTTTTACAAACAGAGAAAGAGAGAGGAGAAAAGGATGGCCAGAGGTTTTACAAACTTTCAAACTCGAAATTCAAATGTTTTTGTTTCTATTTTTTATTGGTCTGAATCCTTTTTATTTTACTCCTTTTTAGTGCTATAATGTTTAGCATTTCGGAATATATCTTTTAGTATTCATTATAAATATTTTAGTGAAAATATTAAGACTATGATTAGCACACTTTAAATATCTTTATAATAAGTTTAACCTATTTAGTATAAATTCATTTAGATAAAAAAAATTATATAAAAGAGACATGATTTATCGGTTATTTATTATTATATTTATTATAGGTTTAATACCTCTTTTGGTCCCTGGAAAAGGGGCAAATGTTCACTTGGGTCCTACCTTTTTTTAGAAGTTCAATGTGGTCCCAAATTTTGTAAAAAGTGTGCAATCAAGTCCTTTTTGGAAACG